TTTGTTGCTAATTTAAGCTGAAAATTTGAAATGAGAAATTAGAGACCTACTGCGTGCCGTGGGGTTTAAGAGCTGCTGCCTTCACCTGGCCTTGGTGCCTCCCATCTCCTTCCTCCTCCTGTTGGCAGCATGACTAGGCTGGGATCCTCAGTGGCTTCATTGCCACGTCAGTGCTCAGTGAGACCCTCAGAGCTGCCCTGTCCTCATGGATCCCCCACTTGGCACTCCTCCTGGAAGCTGTCTTATCCACCTTTCACTCTTACCTTTCCATCGCCCGACACTTATCTCAGTACTTTATGCAAGATGAGAATTCAAAACCTGTTTCATCGGATGAGTGGATACGGAAAATGTGGTATATATACATAATGGAATATTACTCAGCTATAAAAACGAATGAAATACTGCCATTTGCAACAACATGGATGGACCTTGAGAGAATAATATTGAGTGAAACGAGTCAGGCAGAGAAAAAGAAATACCACATGTTCTCACTCATTGGTGGGAGCTAAAAAATAAACAAATTAATTCACCCACATACACACACAAAAAAAAACCGGGGGTGGGGTGGGGAAGAAGATATAACAACTATACTTCTATGGAGTTGTTACAACAAGCAAACGGAAAGGACATTCTTGGGGGGGAGGGGAGAGAGGGAGGAGGGAGGGAGGTGTCGGTGATGGGCCATAATAATCATATACATTGTATATTGACAAAATAAAAATTTAACGAAAAAAAAAAAAGAAAAAGAAAAATATGAGGGTACTTCAAAAAAGTTCATGAAAAATAGAATTGAAAGAGAATATGAATATTTCCATGAACTTTTTGAAGTATCCTCATAAATTTGAAAAGTGGATACAAGGGAAGATTTCCTAGAAAAACGCACATTAGCAAAATTGACTCCAGTAGAGATATAAAATTTAAATGAATGATGTTCACAAAAGAAATAAAAAAAACACTAGGCCCAGGTGGTTTCACAGAGGAATTCTACCAAGTCTTGCACTAGATATTTCCAAAGTTACATAGCTTGTTCTCTAGAGTGTAGAAAGAAAATGAAAGTTCTAAGTTATTTTAATAATACAAGCATAATATTCATATTTCAACTTAAAGAGTAATGCACAGAAGCATACACACACACAACTACAGACAAATATCTTTTAATGAATATGCTGCAAAAACTTTAAAGTATTTGCAAATGGAATCCAACATCCTATCAAGAAAATATTATAGCATAACCTAAGATTGTTCAATATGAAGGTAATTCATAAACATAACTCACTTATTAACAGACCTGAAGAAAAATCATATGATTATCTCTGCAAATTTGTAAAAGGTCTTTAAAAAAAATCAACACCTATTCTTGATTTTTAAAAACCACACAGAATAAAACTAAAACAGATATTAAAACACACTATAAAGCCACTACAATTAAAACTATGTGGTAATGACACAGGGATAGATGGGAGACCAGTGGAACAGAATAGAAAGTACAGAAATTAGTATATGATAAAGGTGGCACCTCAACTCATTGGGGTGAAGAGACTTTCAGAAAAGATGTTGAGACAACTGGATAGCCAGCTGGAAAAAAGATAAAATTGGATGCATACCTCACACCATACACAACAATAATTCCAAGAAGATAAGAAGTCTACATGAAAAAATAAAATAAAAACATACAAGCAGTTACAGAAAACAAGAGTAGATTTCTTCATAATCTGGGTAGTTAAAAGGATTTCTAACTATGATTCAAAATCCAGATGCAATAAAAAAAGATTCATAAATATGACTACTTAAAAATTTAACTATCAGTTTGTATGGCAGAAAAAAAACACTGTAAGCAAAGGCACAAAACAAACTGAGAGAAAATATTTGCAGACTATACAATCCAAAAGACGCTGAAAGATAAATGCTGGCGTGGTTGCGGAGAAAAAGGAACTCTCATACATTGTTGGTGGGAATGCAAAATGGTGCAACCCCTATGGAAAATGGTTTGGAGGTTCCTCAAACTGCTGAAGATAGATCTACCATACGATCCAGCTCTCCCACTGTTGGGAATATACCCAAAGGAATGGGAAACATCAAGTCGAAGCTATACCTGTACCCCAATGTTCATTGCAGCACTCTTCACAATAGCCAAGAGCTGGAATCAGCCCAAATGTCCATCATCGGA